AATGAGTTTCTTGGTTTTATAGAACGTTATTATAAACCATATAAGGCTAGATAAAAATTTATAAATCACCAAAAGTATTCATTTTTAAAACCAACAAAAACTAACTTCGACACTTACAAACAAAAACACAACTGTTCTAATAGTTTTAGTAAGTTGAACATTGTCTATACAAATTATGATCATAATATGAAGTCGTTTTCTGATTAGATGTAAGGTAAATCTGTAATAATTCATCCAATTATTGGGAATTTCAAAATTATGTGTCATTATATAGGTACTTAAGATAAAATAATATTGGTAGATATCATAAGGCACCAATATTAACGCAACAGGAGATAAAGTTGTTCATGTAAATAGCATCACTATCATAGTATGCGCAGTAGGTAGGTACTCAAAACAATATTGATACTCAATACGACGTAACATTCAAGTTTTAAGTTTTGTATTTTAGATATTATCTCTATTATACAAAATAAAGTTTTTAAAATATTATTCAGTGTATTATAATTATTGCCATGGCGACCAATAAATGAGAAAATAATAATTTTAAAAAAAGGGAGAAAGTAGGTAACCGAACTCTTGTTACAGTATAAAATATAATATTATGTCTAGTGTACCTCGTCGTTGAATAGGCACTGTAGGTAGGTAATGGAAGATATTATGTTAAATCTGAGTTCTATAGTAAATCATTGGGTACGAAGAAAAACGATTCTGAGCGAAGATAGTTTAATTTTTAATCTAGGTAACCTTGGTTACTAAACAATTGTTTTTATAATAATACTAGCTGATCCCGTGCACTTCGTCGCCCGTTAAATGGATCAACTCAATACTACCTACTCAAACTTTGTTCAATTCATTAACGTGTATGGTGTTCAAAATTTATCTTATCTTTCCCGTTGCCCTGAATAAAAATTCTGAATCGCAGCAGTACATTATCAGGTAGGCAATCTACCTGCGGTAGATCGCGGACCCCGTGCTGTTTGTACGGAAGTGTATGATTTAACTCTAAAGTATCAAAGTTATACCAAGTTTATTTTGATGTAATACTGTGGATTAATATAATAAATTTGGTTGCTCGTAAAAAATCGCAACTCTTAAAAAAATTATGATTGTTGAACTCCTTTTGGGTGTAATTTTCTGCGGTAAGTGCAACTCTGCCACCCTGGTAAGCATTGTTCAATAATTCGATTTGATGCAAGCTTGTACCTGATCTGCCCGAATAACCAATTGCAACCAATAAATAAATGCTAATTTCTAATGTAGACTGTAACCAATGGCAACTATAAATAAATAAAAATAAAATTTCCAATTTCTATCGTGAATCTCAATGTCCCTGTTTCAGCACCTATTTAAAATGCGAATTTTGGCAAATCCTTTCTTAGCGCACGTCTATATTATAATAGCTATCTGTATGCCAAATTTCAGCCAGATCCGTCCAATGGTTTGAGCTGTGCGTTGATAGCAGTCAATCAGCTTACTGTTTTTTATATACAGATATGGTTGCCATGGTAATATGGACACACACACACACACACACACACACACACTGACATACATTCATTTTTATATATATAAGATTGATATGAAATCTTGGTAACCTTAGTAACCATGGCAACCTTGGTAACCATGGTAACATGGACACACAGACACACAGACACACTGACACACTGACATACATTCATTTTTATATATATAGATTGAAATGTTATAATAATACTAGCTGCCCGTGTGCCTCGATTCCCGGGCGTTGTGGAATAAACATAGACATAATATTGTTACCGAATACATCATAATCTTCACTCAAAAGTAATATGAATCGAGTCAAAACGAGAACAGATATCAGATGGACGGAAAATAATTATAACAATGTTTATTATTACGTGTTTATAATATTTTACTAAGTAATAAATACACTTAAAAGCACGTTGACAACCGTCGCCGGCGTAAATGTTCAAGACATATTTTTAAAAATGTTTTTTATAATATAATATATACTAGCTGCTACTTTTGACCTCCTTAAAGTACCAACTAGATCTAATTGTCTACAAGAAACCTCCATCGAAGGCTGATGTTTAGAGAATTTTTCTTCTATAAGAAAAAGTGTCTTTAGACACAAAAATAAAAACCACACATCATTGTAAAATCGATACATATGGCTACATCCAAAATCTAAAAAAACGATATAATAATATATTATATTGAATCATAAAAAATATTAAAAATTAAATATCGGGTATGATAATACCCAATGGTAATATCTAGGAGAATTGGTGAGTGTAGTTATTTGTGGGAAGACCCATAGTTTTAGTTAAAATAATATGAGTTGTTATATTTTACAATGTGCATACAGTCATGAAGTTTCAAACATAATATAAAAATGTGCACAATACATTCACAAAATCATTCACATTACATTGTTATGATATTATATTTCATTTATTCATTTTAATAGTTTCATAATAAAATTAATACCTATTATTATAAACATGAGTTACTGAGTTATTGGTTAGGGTCGTGAATAATTAATTATGTTTTTATTTTTTATAATATTATTAAGTACCCATATAATATATATAATAGGTATACCATATTAAATTTTACATAGTAATAATATGTCAATCAACATTTATTATGAGCATTTTTTTTCATGCTTTTATTCGTATTAATTATTATAAATGATTGAAATGGGTCTGTGCGATTTTTATCTCTTCCATTTCGAACTAAAAAATGTATAAATCGGACCGGAAGCACTAAATTTTTTTTCAAATCAAATAATATATAATTCAGAACACCGGAAATGGTTAAATAATACACATATTATAACTTTATCATGATTTCAACTCTGGCAAAAATTAAAGCCAAATGGTGAAACTCATCTAATGGAAACTTAAAAAAAGTTTTCATTTCGGCAATTCAGTACCTGTGGTATTGTCAATAAAATCGATTAATGGAATGAATATTAGGTAGACTGGCGTAAATTTTCTGGTAATAAAATGTAATCGAAGCTTTCACCGTCTGTAAAATATTCTTTACAAAACTTCACATACTGATCATATTTTGGCTGAATTTTTTAATTTATTATAGTCGTGGTCGTAAAATTATACTCTTTGAGAATAAACAAACAAAGATATTAGGTAATAGAAATATATTATTATGCAATATTATTTTTATTTGTTTATTAGAGAAAATACAATCTATATACACATTACACAAACGCATGATAAGAATATGTGCTACAAAAATATTTTTAAAAAAAACATGAAAAGGGTGAGATGAAACCATCCAGTGATCGAACTTCTTTTTGCTTACCTAATATATAATACAATATAATGTAATAAACATTATTTATTGATAAATATCGCATATAGTACGCATACAATTGCTTAATCGCTGACAGGGGTGAATATGAAGCATGATTTAGGGGGTGGTTAACTGGTATCATGTGTACTGTCGTATATTTCAATCACAATAATAATATAATACTATATAATTTTTTTATCCAACAGTGTCACAGTGACCACATCAAGTGATCACGTTTGGGACCAACATTTGTCTATTCCTATCACTTATATATTATCGTTTAACGGGGTTTCTATTTTGGTACATCTACTTAAGCTTACCGACTAAGACTTAATAGGTACTAAATGGTATATTAATAATATATAGATAATAATATATTAATAATGTATATGTTTATTTATTAATTATTATTATACATAAAATAGCTGTAAAACAATTTTGGTGGTGGGGAAAGCCTCCTCGAAATAGAGAGTTAACAGTTTCAAAGAATAAGTGCCTTCCAAAATGCTTCTTTATATAAAAATTATATAAATAACTTGACTGCATTCGCTGTTTATAAAGTGTATTTCAATAATAATTCTGCCTGACCAGCTGTATAGTATCTGAATAGCCACGCTCACATCCGATCTTTAAGTGGCCAAGCTTACAAAACGATAGAATTCTTAAAACTTATTTCATACTAGTTCAATCTGTCCACCTCAACGGAGGCTGTTTTAATGCTGGGCTGTAAATCGTCCCCTATTAGAGTTCTGCTCCGTCCTATGGGACCCCTATATTGCATCCACCTCATCAATTATATAGTGTGTGTAAAGGCGCTTCCTCTACTTCGCGAGTCACGTTCTCAATATCAACCACAAGTTGAGTGACTGTCCCACATGCATTAGGCATGTAACTATCTATCAGATAAAAGGGTTGATGCCAGTTTAAAGTTTTTCCAAAGAATTATTGATGGTACATAATATAATTTACCCACTTTCCTATCCTGTACCTATACGTTTCCGAGTTCCCCAATACTCCGATCACTCTGTTACTCCTTTTGAAAATCCACTTACGTGTCTTCGACTATAGTTGTCCTCACCACATAAGCTTGCTAATGCGTCTGTTAAACAATTCTGTAACCAATACGAAGGTAATTCATGGCCAATAATACTTCAACGACTGTTATATTTTGTATTTTTTAAACTCTGTGTATTATTATAAATCTAATTGTATTATTTAAAGGTTGTCCTTCTATCAAATTTTCTACCAGAATTTTCCATACATTTTTTCTGCAGGTACCTACTGGAAAACTGTTAAACTGTTAGAGAAAATTTGGTTTTCAGTTTCTTTTGAAAAATAATTGTGCTTGTTTTTTATTTTTTTATTACTCATCCTATTTAACATTTAAACTGCTATAAAAAATAATAATAGTGCATAATGATAAATAAACAAATGCGTGTTATACTATTAACTCGAGAGTTTTCGGATTAAAATAACAGAATATTATGGTTATTATAACGTGCATCCAATATTAACAACTAGGTCTATTAACGTCTTAGGGTTGTGTCACGTGCGTAGTAATATGTCACATGTGTACAATATATATAATACTATTACTACACCTTGTCTAAGAAATGTTGTCGTGTCAGTATGACAATAATCGCTTATTTTACGTGTAAGAAGTATCACATTATTAACTATGCTTATCTATCGTTCCACAGTGCCACCACAGAAACCGGTCATCCTGAGCGAGTACAACGAGGAGATAGAACACACAGGACCGTTCTACGAGGGCGATCGGGTGAAGTTGACATGCATGGTATCCGGAGGTAATATCATTTTTATGACTTGTTTAACATAATATTATTTTTCAACAATATAATAAATCTATGCAACCCATTATTGTGGCACAGTGAGTTTTTTTTAACGAATGTGAGTCCACTTAAAGTAAATATTACCTACTATGAACTCCAAATACAGTATAAGGAATACAATTCCATAATATAACGAAATTCCATTTTAGAAAATTGTCTGTTTAACGAAATATTTTTGAGAACCAAACCAAAATATTAGAACCAAATTTATTTAATAATATTCAACGAAATTGTCAATAATACTTACATAATCATATTTTTGTTGCCCGTGAGCCTTTAAAATAATATGGACGTTCTTCTGTAATATAAACTGTCATCACTATGGTCATTATGTTCAATTACATACTATTATGTATTTATGTGTGATAGGCATATTATACGTACCTCTATATTATGTATTAGATAATAAATCACATATAAGGGGAAAAAACATGGTGCGTCGTGTTTTAACGTTTAGTTTTTGTGAGGGTACTGCCAATATTTAACGTTTAAAATGTCGATTAAATAATTTAAAATATTACAGTGCTATTATAGCTATAGTGTGCTAGAATGCGACATACCAAATATTTTATTCGAAATAAATGCGTCATAAATATCTTACGGATGATTTAATTTCGTCTCTCCATTTTAGGTGTATCGTTTAATTTTAAATACTCGTCAATGTACACTGTAGATGGTTGATATATAATATAATATATAAAACAAAACTCGTGATTTGATTTAGCGTGTACCAAAGTTAGGAATCATATGTTTAATTTATACAGTTCACCACGGAAAATTATAATTATGACCGTGATGGCATTCTGGCATTTTCTACTACCACATAATGCAGTGTTCACATTTCTCGCTGAAATAAATTACTTAACAAATAAAACATTATTATATACGATCGTGTTATTATGTAAAATGGATAGTTTTTAGCTACCTACATTTAAGGTAAGTAAGTTAAAATTATTACGTATTCATTACATACTACAGCTAGTCGCATAAACTTTATAATATGTACCTTAAAGTTGGATTAATATTTGTTAAAAGTTTTATCATTTATAACGTATGTCAGGAAAAGTGCGAAGAAGCATAAAATTTGTATACTTTATAATATGCGATCTTGTCAAAAACTTATAGAGTTGAGTTACTTTGTTATAAATTGTTAATCACTACAAAAATACATTTGAGAAAAAAAATAGGATATAATGTTACACGAAAAGAACTTAGATTAAAGTGTGCAGTATATTATATCGTATAAATTATAAGCCACTGTTTTAAGTAGTCCTCTACTGTTTGCAGTTTTAAATTATTTAACATTATATATATTCAAAATAACTATGAATTATATTCTACAAAACCAAAAAGTGTTTTTTTTTTTACAAACTAATGAATCCATATTCTGTGATGAAAATGACGAATACAATACTTAAAGTGGGACGTTTTAAATTGATTTAGAATATAAGTATATCTATACAATATTCATACAACATCCATACAATATCAATAACCTGCATACAAAAAATAAGTATGAACAATTATATATTTTTAACTTTATATTATTATAGTTCAAAATTAAAAAGGACACATTTGGCACTATGGTAGTTTATTAATAAATAAGAATACCGTTTAATTAATTTTCATTCTGAGTATGTTAGCTATTTTTTTCCATACATAACCGACAGCAGTGGAAGCTCAATGTTAGCTATTTACGCAACGTCATTGTTTTAATTTCATATTTAATTATGTTCTTGAGAAATACGATAAATCATTAAATATTCAGTCCGTATTCATAATTTATTTTATCAGATGAAAACAATTACTTACTCTATTATTTCTTCTAGATTTAGTTCTTAAATTTTACACCAATCGTAGTATGTACCTGAATTAAAAAGTAATTTTATCCATTTTTTTCAAAGAAATTTCGAATGAATTGTTTTTTTTTATGAAATATGTATAACTATAGAATACTTAATCCGAAAATTGTAAGTCAAGATAATAAAATCCATTTTTAGACACCTATCAACTATTAAAAACATAAACGGAAATGAAAGAAGAAATAATATAAGCTCTGGAGAAAGATCTAATAACCAGATGTTGAATAATTCAAAAATTAAATTGGCGGTCAAAAATATAATAATAAATTCAGATGATGTTTAGTAGTGTATATTTCTATAAAAATATATTTCTTATATATTATATAGGTTCTAAAAATAATAGGTTTGTTTTATGTTCAAAACTCAAAAAAAATCCATCAGTAACATGTCCATCATAACAAACAAAGTGTTCAAAGGTAATGTATTTCAAAAGTTAAAATTTGAAAAATTGATTTATTGAATATTGTTGTGTTACATATAATATAATATCTTAGAACTATTTAGAAAATTCTAATTAAGGTAAATAATAATATGTTAAAAGTGATTTACACAATTCCTTAATGAACCTACATTTTGACTAGGTTTAAAATTCAACTTTTAAACATGAAAATTCTTAGGAAACCTTCTGTGTGTTTTAAAATGTAAAAATTAAAATTAAAATGTTTTCATTTAAAAAAAATAATTAACTTAAAATATATATACATTTTTTAAATAAGTTAACGACTTCAAAACTAAAAGAAATGTTTTCAAAAATACATTTATTCAACAACAAATTAAATTATAAAATAATCATCTTATTAATTGTAACATAATATACAATATAGGTGTAACACTATATCACTAAAATAAATAAATAAAATATCAAAAAAAAAACTTAATTTCTATTAATATAACGAACCAAAATGATGAGAAAAAAATAATCAAAAACCACAATCCGATTGCTCCTATTTTAGATTTAGAGCTGATCGAGGGAGCTATTTGGTTTACAATAGGTTTTCCTTTTTTTCTTTCGAAAACAATTTTTAGGATAGTAAAAGTGTTGCGTGTGACCTTATCAATTGATTGGAAATTGAACAAAGCTCGTATTTTATAAAGGTCAAATTTCTTAGTAGTTTAAAAAACTCATTTGAAAAACTGCAAAGAACATAATATATAGTGTATCCATTTTTAATAAAATCTCCTCCATTTTTAAGTAAACCGATCTCCGCTCTGATTTTATTTTCAAATACAACGAATTACTATTATTATCAAATTTAAAATAATAATATATATACTTAAAGCCTGATTACGTTGAAGTGAGCACTAAGGAGACAATTGTCCAACATCTTATGTCCTTAGGTAATTTGCATTGTGGTTATCTCTTAGCTTAAAGGCTTCTAACTTTGCAAAAAAAACTATTTATGTGGTTATCATAAACAATTAAACTGAAAGAAAAATAAAATAATGATTTGCAATATTGTAAGAGATAATTGTAATTACACTCAGATATACGGTCTTAAACGAACAGCGGCAATGGAGTGTATTATTAAAGACAAAATGTATTATCGTAACCAAGTATCATATAGTCCAAAATTATCTATCTCGCTCTAAGTTTTGTAACCCAAAATTCAAAGGGTCTGGACGTCTGGTCAAGTTGAAAATATAAAAATAAAAACAATTTATCCATATATAACTGACTATATATTATTATAAAATGGTTTATACAATTTTGTAATATTTTCTTTAGTGCAAAAAATATTTTTTTAAGATTCAACTCATTACACAAAAAAATAGGGTTCTAAAATTGCATGATTTATTTCATTTAGATGAAAAATATAAATTAAAAGTCAAAAACTTAAGTAGGAAGTGCAGTACAATATCTACTTAGTTAAATGTTAAATGGAAAATGTTATAGAAATATCGTTTAAATCGTACATTATATAAATTACATAAAAACCGTCTATCTTATACATATGTATAGATATATCTTATCTACATCATAATCATAAATTAAATATTGATAATCACCAAGAAGGTATGAAATCAGTCTGACTATCTAGTGATGGTTTTATGTTTTTATAAAAAAAACAAAGTTCAAAAAATATATTTTTCAATAATTCATTGAAATATTTCAAGAAGGATGAAAGTTTCAAAATTGAAACACTTCAAAGTGAACATTTAATGTGAAATATTTCATACTCATAACCCTACAAAAAACATTTCAAATTTAATTCAAATTTAACTGATGACTTTACAAATTTTTAATCCAAATTACTTCACATGAAAAATACTGTGGAGTTATTTTCTAAATTAATCTGACATCCACAATAAGTGACACTATTTAGTAATGCATATTAATTTTAACTATACCAACCAACATACTATTGTTTATGCTTATAAGTATATAATGTAACGTAAAATAAGGAGAATTTCCTAACTCAAGAAAATCAAAAAGTATTTATTGGTAACTGCATATTATGTTTAGCTTGATAAGTTTAAAACAATGAATCCTTAAGGGCAAAAATTATCTATACTTGTATACTTATTAATAGCAAATGTTTTCCAGAACCAATGGATAAAGTTTACACGATCCGAGTTAATCTAAGTTGGGCCGTAATATTGCATATTATGTTAGATTGACTTTGAAAAATAATAATTGTTTACAAATAAAATAAATATATTCAATACCATTTCTCTTACTATAACGCTATGTATACTAATTTTTTTTAGTAGGCATATTTTAACAGTAGTAAATATAATTTTGGATATTTAAAATCGAGGAAGAAATTAAGATAATATAATACATACTAATACGAGTGTCGTTTAAATTTAAATTAAATGGAAAAATTACAAAACGACAAAATTAAACAAACAAGATTAATTAATCGAAAATTAAAGATTCCCAATCTTTACTATGTATATTATGAATTAAAGTTTATTAATTATTCACAAAGAAATATATTTTTATTTTCAATTATGCAATGTTGGTATTACAACATCGTTAGTTAATTTTTAAAAGTAGAATGTAATAAAATCAATTTTATCAATTCATAAAATCGAATTTCATATTTCAAACTATTAAATTACCTATTGCAATATGAAACAACAATGGAA